AAGGGTGCAAGGATAAATAGAGCTGTAGGTGCACAGAATTGTGTTAGGGTCGTGAAAAAGGCATGAGCCCTAGAACACAGGGTATATGGAGAGAAGTTCCAAAGATAGATTTGCCTACTTCACACTTATGCTTGAAACTTGCCCTGGGAACCCATACCTTCCCCATTTTTTATCAGTTATTCATTTATTAAGTAACTACTATGTGCTGGAAACTGCACTCAGATCAGGGATTCAATGGTGAGTCCACAAGGACTGATCTTTTCCTCATAGAGGCATTTGACTGGTTCTTTACTAAATGCTCACATAGCAAAGTAGACACCAGGCTTCCACCCACTTTCCTACTCTTGACACTCTTATGTACTGACACAAAATTCAAGAAAGAGTTTAAATATCTCTTTCATCCAACTTCCCAGCCTTTACTGCTTTGAAGACTGGCTAAAGTAAAAACTTTTTGTTGGTTTTCCTACTGTGAATAAATGCTGCCCCCTTCTGGAAAATTGACAGAAATGTAAAAGACTGACTTCTAGCCATGAAAGTTTTATAGTTTGTGGGAAGGCCACACAACAGAAGCACCAGCTCTCTGGTCTCTCTCTTGTATTCCTTCACTTCTCAAACCCTTGTTATTTCTTCTAGAAGAATTAGCTCAATATGTATGTTTCAAAAATATTTCCAATAACTAGATTTGAAGTTTTATGGCTCAACTTAAATTAGGAAAACACAAATCAACACACAAGGTAAAGTAATTAATTTTTCACTTCTCAGGCCAAAGCCAAAGAATATTTTACTAATTTTACAGCTATCTACACACACACATACACACACACACACAAACATGTTAGGTATGCTTCCACCTTAGGGTCTGTGACCTGACAGTGTTTCTGCCTGGAATGCTCTTCTCTGCATCTCCACATGAATAACCTCTCCCCTCCTTTAAGTCTTTGTGGTTTTGTTTAATGATGTTGATGTGCAGTGAATATCTATTGAATTAAATTGAACACTGAAGGTAGTGGGAATTGCTGACCTATAAGTTTATTTTGAACTTAACATTTTTTTTTGAAAACTACTCAAAAATGTTTCTCTATAATTATGCCTTCTATTTAAGGCTGATGTTTATTATATTTCATTATTCATATGTAGCTTTAAATGAGCTTATCAGTATTTTTTCTAAATATGCTGACCAAAAATCTGGCAAATAAGCCCACTTCTATGCTTGGTAGTAACTTCTGAGTTACCAGATATGAGTGTGTGTGCACAAGTGCACATGTGCGTATGTGTGTGTATGTGTGTAGGAATACCTGAAATTCTTGGGGGCATCCAAGTCACTAGAAGATGAAATAGCTAAGTGGGGCAATAGATGGACAAAAAGCAAGCTTGATCCAGACGCTTTGGACAGCTATTCCTCTTAGAGCCTTGAAGTACTGCTTCCTCGTGTACTTAATACTCTTAAACTATCCCCTGATTCCAGCCTTCTCCAAGGAGATTTTCAAAATGACTTGCACTGGCCAAATTGGGGTGGAAATCATTTTTGGAAAAGGCAAACGCAAGAAAATTTTAGCACTAGGTTTAAAGTTAAATTGATAATCTTTCAAGTCTTTAGTAAACCATAATCTGGTTTCAAAGCTTATAGCTACATTCTAGGATATCTACATTTTTATGACAAAATGCTTTTTACTTGATTTTTTTCTGAATGATATAGCTTCATGATTATGAATCTAATCACAATTAGCTGGATTATATCACAATTAGCCACTTACCAGGAGTGTGGCTTTAGGTAAGCTATATAACTTCTCTGGGTCTCAAGTTTTTCACCTGTAAATTTTTTTTAAAGCATTTAATCATGATGCAAGAGGATGGGGGTACTTTGGGACAGTAGCAGGAAGAAAGCAAGGCCCAAAGGCCTCCAGTACTGATGCTTAAATGTTGTGCAGGATCCCAGTGCAGGCAGGGCAGGCAGCCGGTTCCTAGTAGTCATTCAGAGGAGACAAGGGGGCAGGAGTCTCCCTCAGCCTTTCTCACAATGGAAAATGTTTTTCTAGGCTGACTCAGAATACCCAGCCCTACCTACCTGGAGAATGCAATGGAGAATAACCGATATGTTAGAGCCTGGTGATCCTGGTAGACAGGAGGAAGGGATCACGAGAGAGCTTGGTAATACCACCAGAAGGTATCACAGGATTTACTTCCTAGAATTACTGACAAGAGTTCATGAGATTATTGTAAAGTGCTTCATGAAGCAAACACTTAATAAATGTCAGCTATAATTATATAATAGGATGTGTTTAATATATCCTAAAGTATGTCCTCTGCAACATTCCTTTGCTTTACTTTTCTATCTAGAAGTGTCACTTGGCAATTCTTTTGAAGCTGATCACTGGAGGATGGTTGTAGAGACCATGATATTGATATCAGTACACTGCCAGATTCTTATTTTAACATGTGATGAGACCAGGAGATTGTGGTGAGCTATGCCAGAATCTTACTGTATTGTTTAAAACCAGACCAAATCTTGCCACCACGCACTGCCACTGTCTGCCATTTGGAACTGCATATGACTCCTGGTGTCCTCGTAATTCATTTTCTTCCTCTCATTTGCTGGTTTTCCTTTTCTGGATATCAAGTATACAAGGTGAAGGGAGAAACAACATTTTTTTGGTACCTACCCTATGCTGGATGTGGAGGTTTTAGTTGTGATTTTCCATATTCTCATTGTATTCTATCAGCTGTCACATGATATCAGTTTGTCCCATTACTAATGACACTCACTTTGATCACTTTGATTAGGGTGATGGCTTCTTAACTTTAAAGTTATTGTTTCCCTCTTATAATGAATAAATATTTTACAGGTGATACTTTGAAACTGTATAAATATCTTATTCCTCATCAAAATAATTGAATTACTTATTAATTTATATCTCTGTTGACTCATAGTTTCCTGCTTTATTCAGTGTGTTATAATTTGTTAACATTTTTATTTAGATGCTCAAATTTTCCCTCTCCCCGATTTGTTCATGGAGCCCCTTTAAATGAGATTTTGAATCCTTTTGACGTGTTCCCTTCATTTTTTGAACACTTGCTTACCTTCTGGAGCAAAGGTGCCTCTTGCACTTTCGCTCACCCAGGGCTGAAACTAGGTGATCTCAAGGATCTTGGATCCTTTTGGACAACAGTATTTGGACACCAAGATATGGGGACCTGGGAGTGCTCAGTATACTACTGGGATGTTTCTGTTCCAGCCCTCACAGTGGACAGAGCTAGCAGTGCATGTGTGCGTGTGTGTGTGTGTGTGTGTGTGTGTGTGTGTAAAATGAACCTTGTGGTATTGGATTGAAACTGGAAGTATCAGTGTGGACTCATGATTTTTAGAATATATATGGATCGAGAAAGAAATAAATGTGTATGTGTGCATGTATGCATATATACACATACTCTAGTTTTCTTCCTACTCATATTTGTACCTCCCTTTTCCATTAGTGAGAAAACTGGTTCAAAATATTCTTTATGTGTTTATTTGATAAATCTGGGTATGGAAAAAATCTCCCAACTCCATTTCCATCCTCTCCTGCACAAATTCCTCCATCCCCCTATTTGGGCTCTGACACCATATGACAATGCAAGGATGCTTACCTCATTCTGCTTTGGGTTCAACTCACAGTGCCAAGCCACCTGTCCACATGGATGCTCTCCTCACTCTGCTCAGGCTCTGACTTCCAGTGCCTGGCTTCTTCTCCCACCAAGTGGAGACTTCCCCATCCTGCTTAGATACTAGCACAACATGGCAGGTGGCCCCTCTTTGTGGACACCTTTCTCATCCTGTTTGAGCTCTGATTCCCCACTGCAGTCTACTCCCTTACCCCCTTGTGAATGCCCTTATCACCCTGCTCTAGCTTTGACACTCCATGCTGGGGCCTTGAGTCAGAAATATGCCTTTTATGCTATTGGAGTAACAAGGAGGCTAGTGTGCCTTAAATGGAATCAATGAGGGAGACCAAGAGGTAAGGACCAGATTGTATATGGCCTACAGGGCTATTTTGAAGATTTTAGCTTTTGTTCTAAGTGAGGTAGGGAACCATTGGAGGTTTCTAGTGACATGATCTGGCATGTTTTAGGGGAATCCATCTGGTGCTGTACTATGACTAGATGAAAGAGGGACATGGTTAGGAATAATGTGCAGTGTATTATTACAGTGTACTGGTACAACATATGGATATACTTTAAATAAATAAACATATACTGGAGTGTGCTCAAATTCTATTATCTACAGTGGTACAGGATTATAAATGTCTGAAAATCATTGTTCACAGTGGCAAGAAATCCAGCAGCTGACTAGTATTACTTGGGAAGAAGGTAGACTTCTTTTGCTCCTAGGTTCAAAGAACTAATTAGTGATAATACCTGCTAGAAATAAAACACGTATGATACACTAGTATTTCTACAACACTAATGGGAAGAGAGAAATTTGGGTGGGATTAAGTTATTGAATGTGTGGGACTGTTCTGTGTAAAGATTTGAAGTGGTAGTGCTAGTATGTGTATAATTAACTTTATGTTGTTCTGTATTCTTATGGACTTCTAAAACAACATTGAGGCAACCCAACATTTAGTAATTTGGTATCTATATGAAAATAATACCTTTTCCATTCTTATTTACACATGTAATTTATATTTGTGTAGTTTATATTCTTTTAAGAAATACTCAGAAAGGGGGGCGGAGCAAGATGGGGGAGGAGTAGGAGACCTGGATTTCATCTGGTCCCAGGAATTCAGCTAGATAGGGATCAAACCACTCTGAACACCTACGAACTCAACAGGAGATCGAAGAAAAGAATAGCAACAACTCTCTGAACAGAAAAGCGACCGCTTTCTGGAAGGTAGGACGTGCGGAGAAGTGAATCCGAGGCGATATTCGGGAGGATAGATGGCGGGGAGGGGGCCTCCATCGGCCACTTCTGGCAAGTGATAGAGCAGTGGAGCACAAAATTGGAACTTTTAGAAGTCGGCTCTAGCTTTGCGCAGTGGCAGTATCGTAGCCAATGAGGTTTATCCGAGGCGCGATTATTGCTAATAGAAGTCGGCTCCGCTGAGGGACGTGGCTCCAGTGGCTAAGCGGGGGTGGAACCCTCACGGGACAATGTGGTCTCAGGACCCTCGGGGTCACAGAAAGACCAGGGGTGCCTGACTGCAGCAGAGCTCCCAGGTATCAGAGCAGGGAAGCAGGCTGCAGAGATTGAGCCGAGCAGCGGGCTCTCAGCTCGGGGTTGCCATAAACTGTGATCCACGGCACAGTCAGGCCACTGCTCTTCCAGCAGGGACCCAA